TTGATAAGTGGCCCTGTTGATATAAATTCAGATAAAACAAACATTCGGATGTGTATCCGGGTACGTAGTTTGGGGAAGTGAACTCGTTTCGAGGACGTGTATTATTCCCCCAACTAAATCGAATACCCAGCTCCATCAAAACTGAGCGCTGGTGCTTCTCGAAAGCTACAGATCCTCCTAGAAGAAGGATTTTCTAGAGGGCAGTCATTTGCTACGAAAGCGTTGTATCAACGTTAGTGACTTATGTCATAATTAAAATTACAGCTAGAAAGTTCCGGATGGACATACATATCAACACAGCTTCCGACTTGTGGATTGATTGGTCTTTGAGCGCTTTCGGCTGTGTAGAGCGGTTCGGGTAAGCTGTCCTCCCAGAAATCATCACGAACCATCTCTGGGAAGGTGTCGTAGGCTTTGTCGACGACGTTGAGTCCGACCTCAAAAAAAGAATTCAGCAATTGCATATTCAAGATGTGCGTAAGCTGAAAGCCGACCATATTGAATTAATCTTACAGTGGCTGGGATGTTCGGACTGAATATTTTGTTCACGTCTCTCCACTTGCCGTATTACTTCATGAGACTTACCTTTCTAATCTCGCTCTTTCGTCATTGCCAGAAAATTTGGAAAAAACAACTGTGGACGAGCAAAAACCTCTACTGAGGCCAAGCAATCCTTGAGGCAATTCCTTTCTGTAGCTAGCATGTCATGATATAGAGACCATCGATTCTAGAGTGCTGGATGGTCTACCGAGATCCTTGTTAACGTTGTAGCGCGCTTGGGTCAACTAACACTGAGCGAAAGTTTATTATTTTAGTAGAGAAGCTGCCTTCAGGATCGCTTGGCACCAGAGAGAATGCTCTCGATGGTCTTTCGACGTTTCAAGCTCGGGCGAAGGTGAAGAGCGAATGTAAGCAAAATAAAGAGTTCGATGAAGAGACTTTAACAAAATTTCCCGCTTCAAAAAGGTCGAGTTAAAAATCGAACTCATCAAGTCGTTGCTGACGCAGGCTAGAGACGTTTGATGGTCAAGAAGACCTTAATTAACCCGGTCATACTCACCTGCAGATTACGGTCCAATATGTAATTGCATTCAAAATCGTCGTCGTCTTCACCAAGAGGATTGAGCAGCACCTCAGCAACCTGTTGATATATTATTGGTTAATGTCGCATAAGCCAGAGAGATCAATAAAAGAAGACTTCTCATAAAAAAAGAATTCACTGATGTTCATTAAAAGAAGGACGCCGTTCAAATGCGGATTTCACGACGGAAGGAAGCTTTTGTAAAAATCAAGTTAAAAGTGTCAGTGATGCACGAAAGAAGAAAAAACCAAGAAAATACCCCAAAAGCGAGAAGGTACGCTTCTCGCTCGTTAATGTGTGGACTCTTGCATGTGGCTCTTCTCGTTGGCTGCCGCTCTGCGACGCAGCTAACGCTCGCTCGTCCTTCCTGCAACGGCTAGAGACGCACACTGAAGATGCCCGCAAAGAGGAGGTGTTAACGACAAATGTGCCACAGGGCCGGCTATGAACATAGATTGCCCTCACGCGCATATGCTTTGATGCGATATCTTGTCGGTCCGTCACTCTTAAGTATTCGCTCGCGCTCTTCAATAGGTAATAGTTTCCTCCATTTCTTTCCACCTTTACGTAATTATCGTGACATATCCTCCTTATTAGTCTTTGATGAAGTCTGCGCTAATTTCTGATCCACACAGTCCTGTCACTGGTGGCTTGCCAAAGCTCTCTCTATCTTCCTAGCATGACCCATTTTCCCAAATATTTACTCTTAAATTGTTCATATTAGATGACTCGCTCGTATATATAATTACATAGCGTATGCTCGTTAATTGCAAGCAGATTGAATTCTTCAATAAAAAAAGAGGCAGACATCTTAACACGTTGGCGACAATGCCATTTTTCGCGTGTCTGCCACGTGGGACCGCGCGCATTTTTCTTTGCGGGTCGACGTTGGGGACGCATTGTCCAAGATGACAGTCTTTTTGACTAACATAACCTCAGTGGTCGTGAAAATTCATCAGAGACGAAACTTCACTGAGGGGTATTCAACGTGCTGATGCATGAATATAGCATTAGTTTCAGCGCTGGCTGAGAGTGGCGCAGAGCCTCTTTGCCTCCAATTTCAGCGTGTCCACTCGGGACACAGGGAATGTAATTGTGGTCCATAACAAGCACAGATATATCACAAATCCGATGGTCAGATACGCGATCCGAGGAATTAAGCCAGTCATCATTAGCTTCACCAAGAAAATCAGATTACTTGGCTGTCGAATATTAACACGGCTAAATTAACCCTTTGACGACAATGGCACCCACCGGTGGGTGCCACTATGTTCGTCGCGTGGGACAATGGCACCCAATGGTGGGTGCCACCTTAAAATTTCCTCTTTGTGCATTTAAAACATTTGTAACACCCAATAATTATAAGCAAGTTCCATAATATCATGGCTAGCACGACTTACAGAAATGTTTACTAAGAGCTAATTTATATAGAATTTTAGAATGTGCCATTTAGCTCGCCACCATATTAATTGGGGTTTTAAATTATTAGGCCGAAGATTAATTACTAATCAGGACTTCTTCGTCTTCTCATAGCCTTCAGATATGGGAAGGGGTTTGAAGTGTACCGGAAATTCTCTTGGACACTTGAACTTTTAAGGTTTGCCCTCCTTCCCTTTGAACGCGAGTTCCCCGTCCAAATTTGGAATTCTTGAAATAATTTACAGTATGAAAGCCTAGAACTGCAGTTATAACTGGTATACTGTTAGAGTCAAAAATTCTACAGAAAAATTGCTTTGAAGGACAATTTTCCTAATTGTGAGCGAGAGTTGGGCGCGCCAAAAACAGGCGTGGTCCCACGAGCAAGCTACGTGCAAATCCGCATTGTCGTCAAAGGGTTAAACGAAGCGATCTTCGACGATTTT